TCAACGAACGCCCTCAGTACGTGCAGCTGCATGGCTGTCAGTCAGAGGTGGCATTCTGCAGCACCGTGCCCCCCCCAGGGCACCGTTCTGTCTCTTTTACACCTCGGACTTCACCTACAACACAGATAGCTGCCATCTCTAGAAGTTCCCTGATGACTCGGCCATTGTAGGCTGTGTTTCTGAAGGGAACAAGCTGTATTGATCGGTCATCATGAACTTTGTGGACTGGTGTGAGAAAATAACACCTGTGTCTTAACACCAGTAAGACCAAAGAGATAGTGGTCGACTTCAGGAGAAGAAACCCCACCTCACTCCCCCGTGAACATCCAGGGGCAGGACTTGTGGAGAGTTTCAAATACCTGGGTGTTCATGTCAATAATAACCTGGACTGGACTGGCTGGACTCTGGACTCAGTGGAGGACTTCCATCCATCATGGAGAACACCTTCCACCCTCTGCACCAGACTGTAGAGGAGCTGAGCAGCTACTTTAGTCAAAGACATCCCTGCTGCATTTAGTCATTCATCCCTGCTGCAACCAGACTCTACAATGCAACACTACAACGGCAAAAACTTGTCCAATGTATAATGTGCAATTACTATTTGATACCCTGTCCAATAACGATATATATAAATATAGATATCCATCTATATAAATATCCATGTAAACCTCCCTGTGCAATAACCCTGTACAAAAATCCTGCTATAAAAAAAAAAGCTGTCATCTGTGGACGCAATGTATATACTGGATATATCCATGCACCTTTTCTTCCTTTGGCACCTGCTTCTTCTCTTTTGACTATGTGAGCTGATGTAACAAGTAAATTTCTTCACTGTGAGATCAATAAAGTCAATCAATAAAGTGCAGCAGAATGCATCGAATATCAACAGCGTGGGAGAAAAATATGGTACAAACCACATTGATATGAAAAATACATACGGTGTAAAAATGAAGTAGAACTTTTTTGACCTGATTTAGAATTGTTTTCAACAGTTCAGCTGTCTGATGGCAGTGGGGAAGAAACTGTTCTGGAATCTGCTAGACAGGCAGCGGATGCTGAGAAGCCTCTTCCCAGAGTGCAGCAGGGAGAACAGTCCATGGTGGGGGAGTGAGGGGTATCCAGCGCTGGGATGAAATGTCTCTGTTATTCTCACCAACCTCTTCACCTTCTTCCAGTCTGAGGCGCTGCAGCCTCCACACCACACAGTGAGACAGCTG